TGAGTTTTGGGGGAGTTAGAACCAGTTTTGGGGGGGGTTAGAACCTCAGGAATGGCCCTGGATTTTGGGGATTCCCACCTCTGGATTTTTTGGGACTCCCACCTCTGGATTTTTTGGGACTCCCACCTCTGGATTTTTGGGATTCCCACCTCGGGAAGGGCCCTGGATTTTTTGGGAATCCCCACCTCGCAGATCTGGCGGGCGAAGAGCAGGATGTGGGAAAGGCTGAGGGGGTGCTTGGGAAGGAAATCCCGGAGGCTCCCAAGGGGGACATATTCCATGATCAGCTGCACCACCTTGTCCCCTGAGGAAAAAAATCCCATGTGGATTGAGCTTCCTGTCCCATTCCCACCCCCTCACCCTCGTGGGGACCACCCTGAGACCCCATCCCTTCCCAAAATTCCAAAAAAACCCCCATCTGGAATTGCGTTTTTAACCTTTCCGCGGCACCAAATCCACTCCCAATTCCATATGGAATTTTTCCCCCCCATCCTGGGACCCATCTGGTGTTTCCCACTCTCATGGGAAGAGGGGGACAACCCTGAGACATCCCCAGCCTTCCCAAAATTCCTGCCAGGATGGAGATTCCCCTCCAAAAAAAAAAAAAAGCTGGGAATGGGGTTCTTAATTTCTCCGCAAACGAACAACAGATCCACTCCCAATCCCAACACAAAATTCCATATGGAATCAGCCTCGTGTCCCCTCTATGACCCCCTCGGTGTCCCCCCACTCTCGTGGGAAAGAGCAGGACAAGCTGATCCCACCCCAAAACCCCTGCCAGGCCGGCAATTCCTGACGGAATTGGTGAGGGGAGGAAAAAAAATGATCCCAGGAAATTCCCGCCTGGAATTGCGACCCCCCCACCCCCTCACCCTGCTCGCTGCAGCAACCCTTGTACTTGACGATGTTCTCGTGGTAGAGGGTCTTGAGGATCTGGATCTCCCTCCTCCAGCTGCTCAGGAGCTCGGGGCTGCTCCCGGATTTCAGGGACTTCACCGCCACCATCTCCCCGGTGCCGTCGTTGGTGGGGTCGTAGCAGTACAGCCCCACCT